GACTAAAAGTTAGTTTATAACAGGAAAACACCTGTAGTGTGTGTTAAATTTGGTTTTATTTTCATAATTACGTTTACAAATTACAAAATCGTTGTTGTACTACAAACAATTTAAGTTCAATTTTTTAAGCTGACATGCATAAATTTTAAGTTTATTCTAAGTTCATCATAATTGCCGACAGTAATCAGTAAACAAGTCTGCGCGTCCACAGACTCACAAAATAATAAATATTAAACTAAAAGATAAAATTGTTTGTGATTGCGTTACTCCAGTTGATATGACACCAAATATCAATTGTTTACAATCAATAAGTGAATACCTAAAATTGAGTATTTTTTGTGTTCTATAAAAATCTGTATAAAATAATTTTGTTACTATTCTCTCTGAAATAATAAAACTATAAGGCTATAACTGCCTTTATTAAAATTAATAAAAATAATATAAAATTTTGTAATAATTATAATTGCAATCACAATTACTACAGTTACAAACTTATGATCTACACAATTACTTTTTTCACGTACGATAATTACAGTTTTGTTAAAAATATTTATATACTTGAAATATCAAGTACTACTTTCTCTCGAGATCTGAAACGATTTTCGTTTTTTCCTCGTTTCTTTTATAATCTATGTCACAATGACTTCGTATGAATACTCATCTTCCTCATACAGTTTTAGATATATCTGCTATGTGGTTTACTAAAAGATGAATAAATTTGAACATTAGGTCTTTGTAGTTCAAAGTGTTTCACGTCCTCCAGAGTTACAGAACATCCAGTTATATCCAACTCTATTAAGTTTGGTAATGTCGACAACATAATATTGATATCTGTTCTTGTAACTTGCGAATAATGTCTGAAAAAAAATAAAAGCATCAGTATTTAAAATATTTTTGGTTTTCGGTTTTTAGGCTTACGATTTACCTTATATGTAATATCTTCAAATTTGTAAATCTATTTATATAGCAACTAATATCTAACACCAAATAGTTTAAAAACGAATGGGTTCTGGAAATTGTTTCTTTAACTTTGTTTTCGGCAATAAGACGCTAAAGCAAAAGAAAGTCTATTATCATCTAATGCGCAACAAGAAATTGATAATATTTGTTAAAATAATAGTGTATAATACATGCAAGCATGTATGTGTGAATGGCAAAAATAAAGAACACGAAAAAATTGAGAGACATACTTGAGTTGTACATAAAAAGTTGAGAAGGTCTTCATACATGTAATTAAAGTTTTCTAAATCTTCTAATGATTCATTTAACAACATGTACCTATAAACTTTAGGACATTCTAGATACAGTTCTTTTAAAGATTCAACTTGACAAAACCATTCAATTATCTTATCCGTTACTAATGTGTCTCGAACGTCTAGAATCTATAAAATAAAAAAGAAAAAACACGTTTCTATAGAAAAGTGTGATTTTCGCAGGGAACTAGATGAAATGCAGAACTATTACTGTCCTAAAATAAAAAATACCTCTAGCTTTTGGCAGTTACAAGGGATATTGATAAATAAATCTATGTCTGAATATAAGTCCTCTATACGAAAACATGAAAGTACTTCAAGTTTCTGAAGTTCTGTAAGGTTATATATAGTTGGCAAAAATGTCGATTGCTTATCCCACAGAACATCGTTAAATGTCAAGTACTAAAATTTATATTTGGAATACAGTATTGTATTGTTAAACACAATATGTGTGTATATATATGATAGAATACACTAAATATATAGAGATATGTAAAATATGTGTAGAACAACAACTTACTTTTACGTAGGGTACGAACCTACATACTCCATGAAAAACAATGGGCGCTAAAAATGTGACATCAGTAAACGTAACATCTGCTATACAATTTTTGAATTCAAGGGTCTCAAGAGTTGTTGACGTCTCTGGCGTATCCTAAACCAATTTTAATAAATTGCCATGGATTTGTAACAAAACTATGGAAAAGAAGTTTTACTAGATGTATAATATGCTATACACATAAAG